TATAAATACACATTTTTGTTAACCAGTCGCCATTTGAGGGTTGCTTCCATCTTTTAGGTATTCTGAAAAGAGCAGCAATAAACATGGTTGTGCAAGTGTCTCTACAATAGGATGAGTCCTTTGGATATATGCCAAGGAGTGGTATAACTGGGTCATATGGTAGGTCATTTTTACTTTTTTAAGAGTTCTCTACACTGTTTTCCATAGAAGGTACATGAGTTTGCAATCCCACCAGCAGTGAATGTGTATTCCCTCTCCACATCCTTACCAGCATTTGGTATCATTTGTTCTCTTGATCCTAAGCAGTCTGTTTGGGGTAAGGTGATACCTTAGGGTGGTTTTAATTTGCATTTCCCTAATTACTAACAATGTTGAAGACTTTTTGAGATGCTTCTTAAGCATCTTTATTTCTTCCTTTGAGAACTCTCCATTTAGATCTTTAGCCCATCTTTTAATTGGGTCTTTTGGTTTCTTGTGTGTTTGTGTTTTGAGCTCTTAATATATTCTGGATGTTAAACCTCTGTCAGATTTGTCAATGATGAAGATTTTTTTCCCATTCTTTGGGTTTTCTCTTCACTTTTTTGATTATTTCTTTTGCTGTACAGAAGCTTTTTAGTTTAATGAGGTCCCACTTGTTGATTGTTGACCTTAATTTCTGAGCAACTTCTGCCTGATTTAAAAAATCCTTTTCTACACCTATATCGTGTAAGTTACTGCCAATATCTTCTTCTAATAGTTTCAAGGTTTCCAGTTTTATACTGAGGTCTTTGATCCATTTGGAATTGACTTTTATGCCAGGTGAAAGATAAGAATCTAGTTTCATTCTTCCACAGGTGGAGATATAGTTTTGCCAGCACCATTTGTTGAATATGGTGTCTTTCCTCTGTTGTGTGTTATTGGCACATTTTTCAAATATCAGGTGAATGAAATTGCATGTACTCAGGTTTGGATCTTCAATGGTGTTCCATTGATTTATGTGTCTGTTTTTGCACCAGTACCATGCTGTTTTTATGACTATAGCTCTGTCATATACTTTTAAATCTGGTATAATAATCCCCCCAGTGTTGCTCTTTGTGCCCAGGGTTGCTTTGACTATCTGGGGTCTTTTGTGCCTCCATCTGAATTTTTAAAAAAGCAGAAAAAAATGATTTGATGGAAGGTGCCCTACATGCATGAATAATGCCATTTCCTCAACCATGAGTTGTTAAACAAAAATCCCCATGTTTAGTGTACGATGATTTCTTAAGAGTTTCTGGTAAGGCATGCCCTCGAGGTCCCCCAAATAGTAGAGTCTATAACCATTCTTGTTTGCCTACCATAACTAAATTATAAGACCCTATTGCTGAAAACATTACATTCTTTGTTTGCAGGACATGGGGATATCAAGCTGAACTGAGATGGTAGCTTTCTCCCTGCTAACTAGCTTTCATAAAGCTGGAAATTGCTATATAGCCTACAGTGGTGAAAAGTGATCAACAGTCTCACCCTACCACTAACTCTATGAGCTAAAACGCCAACTTGCCAGGTAAGATAAACCCACTGGTTAAATAGTGGCAAGACTGTTATGGGGGTAACCAACTCCTCTCTGATTGGATTTGAGGTGCACTCCAAGGGAAGAATTCATAAAAGGTACTTTAAACCTAGTTAAAAGTTCATGCATGGGCTGGAGAGATTGTTCAACAGTTAAGAACGCTGAATGTTCTTGAAGAAGATCTGGGTTCAAATCCCAGCACCCACATGACAGCTAAAAACTGTCCATATCTACAGTTCCAGGGGATCTGAGAGCCTCTTCTGTTTTCCATGGGCATTGCACGACACGAGTGCACTTACCTCCATGCAGGCAATACATGCATACACATAAAATATTTAAAAAATAATAAATAAAATATATTTTTAAAAGTTCATGCCTGGAGAGGTCCCAGATCCTAGCAAGGGAACCTGCTGTTTTTGATGTAGTCAAACTGTCTTCTAAATATTCTTGCTTATACCCAGATTAATGCTGTTCTCAGCTTTGGTAAGAAAAGCTTCAGTTTGCAGTGGATAAGAGTTAATGCAGAGACTCAGGCAAGAATAAATGACTGCTGAGTGCTCATCTCTAAATAAGACATCTTTATCACTCCACTTAAAGCTCATCAAACATAGCAGAAGTGGTGACAGAAAAAAATGTAAAACTGAAGAATGGGAAGGAGTGGTATTAAATGTCGTTATTTGGATATAACATAGCTGATGAACCTATGAACTCACAGCAACTGTGGCTTCCTGCACAAGACCTAAGCAACACTGGGCTCATCAATGCTCCATCATAAATGGGGATATGATGTAGGTCCCACTGCTCTCTGAGGAACTATTGGTGGTTAACAGTTATGGGGGATGGGCAGTCATAATCTTCAGTGTTGTAGCCATTGGTAAGTCATTCTAGATCAATTAAATAACCCCTATTCATGTTCAATCAAACAACCCTAAGTGAATGAAGCATGTAACACACTTACACAAAATAATAGACATGAAAGTAGAACAGGGACTCTTGGATGAAGGGTTCAGTAGTAGGAGCAAGGAGATCATTGAAGATAATGGTGGTAATATGATGAAAGTACATTGCATATAATTGAAATTGTGAAATAACAAAAAGAATAATAACATTAACATGCAGGAGAATTGGAGCATAGCAAAAACTCACCAGACCAAAGAAAAACTGAAATTCATTAGAGAAAATACCAAATCCTACATCTCCATGTTTGGCATCTAGGGCTTATGATGGAGCCATCTGGACTTCAAAGGGCATGGCCAGCTTCAGTCCTGCAGCTCTACTGGTAATAGTACACAGAGCACTTTTCTTGGGCAAGCTCCACTGTGTGCCTGCAGCTCTTCTCAGGGGATGGCCAATGGTCCTGGCATCTCCAGCATCCTGAGGTCTTCGCCTTCACAGTTTCATGAAGTAGCCACCCAGGGATTATTTCCAGTGACTCTGATCCTACCATATATAGCCTGTTCTCAGCAGCTCTTTGGGAACATGAGACAAGCCTCCATTACCCCTTCAAACTTGCATCTTTAATGTCTACAAAACCAGTACCACATATAGAGTCATGCTGTGTACTGATACCAGCAAAAGATGAAGCTTATTACCCCCAGATTAAAGTTCTCTCTGCTTCTTTGAGCTTACCTGGGAAAATACTTTGGTAGGCAGTCATTTTCCTAAAGTAGGAAACTCATTCAGCTCCATCCTGAATTCAGTCTCTGTCAGTTGAAACAAGCTTGAGTTTTTCAAGTTGGAGACTTTAGTGGGAAGGGTCTTGCCTTAATGGCATTTTTCCTACCATCCCATGGCAAGGCAGGATGTTTCTCTTTTTCAGCACATGCCCTGGATGAAACTTTTAACTTAGTCAAGCTCTTTTCCTAAAAAAAATTACACAATTTTTATGTCATTTTTCCCAATGTTTTGCTTTTGCACTTTAATCCAGATAACTATAGGAAAACATTTATGACACTGAATGGTTTCCTGTCTTGAAATGTCCTCCATGCCTCAAATTAATTCATTGCCTTTAAATTCAACTTTACTCAGGTTCTTAAGCTATGGGCAGAATGAATTTTCTTTTTCAAAATATCATGAAGATTATTCCAGTTCCTGAGAGTCCCTGTTTCCTTCTGAAGCGTCAAGAATCAAACCTCTACAGTTCTCTTTTCTCTTGGCTTTCCTGCTTTCCAAGTTCCTACCAGAATTACAGAGAGAGTTCTGTATCAACTGCTTCTGTAGCCTAGCTACAAAACTTTCTGAACTCTTTCACATTCCCCTGCAAACCATTTCAAAAAGCTTAAGAACCACACAGCAATGTTTATCACAGCAAGGCCCCACTACTTGGTACCAACTTTCTGTATGTGTTAAGTATCTCATTGCTATGAAAAAATACCTTGAAAAACACAGCATAAGGAAGGAAGGATTTTTTTCTGGCTCACTGTTTGAAGTTTCAGTTCATCATGGCAGGAAATCAGTGTCAGGACCAGGAGGCAGATGGTCACATTGCATGCACAATCATAATGCCTAACACGAATGCTTGCACTCCAAAAACTTTCTCTTTTTTTATGCACTCTAGAATTCCAGGCCCTGGAATGGTGCTTCCCAACTTTAGGACTTTTTCAACTCAACTAACCTAACCTAGATAATCCCTCACATAATGCCCAAGGCCACCCTGCTCTAGGTAGTCTCTCATGGGTAAGGACAGAGGCTTATCTTTTTTGTGATTCTAGATGTTGTCAAGATGACAATTAACATTACCCATTACACGGGTCCCCATAATTTTTACATCAAAAAGCTTTAAATAGAAACATTTATGTCAACAATTTATGCCAAATTATGTGCACAGGGTGTTTAAATAAACTAGGCCATATATATTTAATCAGTTAGAAAACCAGCAGTGAAGTAAAGCTATATATATATATCATCTCTTTGATTAGAGTTCAATTCTATGATTGCTTGGATATAAGCTAAATTTAATTTTGTTCTGCTCTATTCGCAGTGTCTGAAGAAAACTGTGTCAACTTAATACATGAATGGTATGAAAGGCATTATAAATATTTCTAAAATTGGCCAGGCATGGTGGTGCACACCTTTAATCCCAGCACTCGGGAGGCAGAGGCAGGCGGATCTCTGTGAGTTCAAGGCCAGCCTGGTCTGCATAGTAAGTTCCAGGACAGCTAGGGCTACAGGGAGACCCCATCTCAAAAAGACCAAAAAACAAACAAACAAACAAAAAACCAAATATTTGTAAAATTATAAAAACAGTTTTGAATATTAATGAAGCAACTCATTTTAATTATTTTTCTGTTTTTATTTAGAAAGTTAAGTAAAACAAGTATCACAGTTTAAAATATTTTAATCTCACTATAATTCAACATTTTAAAAAAACTACCTATTTTTGATTTTAAACAATAAAATTTATAAAAATAATTTTACATTTATAAAATGAATTATTTCACAATAAATTATTTATTTCTATTACCTGAAAATGTGTATTATATAAAAGTAATAACTTTCTTTAACAATATTCTGAAAATATCCTGAAAACATCAATTTTTTTATCCAGAATCTTTTGGCAGTTCTCATATATAAAAATACTATAGTACAAATTCCCTGACCATAGTTATTAAGACAAAATTATTAGTTAATAATTTCTCAAACATATTTGCTTGCTAAATTTTTGTGGCTAAATTATTCACCAAAAATATACTTCACATTTTACATTTTAAAGTTATTTTCTAAGGCCTGAATGCCCATGTGCCCCGTTATTCATGTTGAAGCTTAGCCACCAGTCTGATGATATGCAGAGGTGGGAATGCAGGGAAGTGACGAGGTCCTGAGTGTGGAGCCTATGTTATGAGAACAGTGTTATTAAAAAAGACTCCCACGAACACTGTTAACAAGACACCATGTATAAATCAGAGACAGAATCTGCTAGTGCCTTGCTCTTGGCTTCCCAACATGCACAGCTAGAGAAATACATTTCTGTTGTTTATAATTTTCCCAATTTATGGCATTTTGTTATAGTTGCCTAAATGGACTGTTTTTAATATCTTCTGTGGGAATAACATTAAACCAGTAAACAAAAACCTATAGAAGATAGTTGCATTTGTAAAATTTGAAAATTTTCCTATTTCATGAAACACACCAAACAAATTTTCAAGACAATAAGAGTTAATAAACTTTCCTCTCGCTTTGCCTCTTCTGCTGTTTCTGTTTCTTTTCCTCCCCATTCCTTCTTCCCTCCCTCCACCAATGATACATTTTACAGTTTCACAAGGATGACATTTGAGAAAAGATGATTGCTTCTGTTAAGCCACTGACAGCTTTCACATTTCCACTGTAAGATTTCAGTTTCAATTTAAAAGCAAAGTTAGTTAACACCAACCTAATATTTTTATTTGTAAATGTAGGTGGGAGTTATAACTCATAATTTAAGAAACTGTGAGGAGCTCTGAAAATTTTTAATTTAAAATCTTACATTTTGAAATATTTTTTTCTTTGACATATATTAAAATATTCAATTCTATATATTCATATAAAATATATACATCTATATATTCAACCAGTTTCCTATTTCAGTAAACACACAAAGGAAGGATGGAAGGAGAGAAGGAGGGGTGAAGAGAGGAAAGAGCGAGAAAGAGAGAGAAAGAGAGGCAGGCATTAATGGTTCTTGAGGGTAGCCAATAATTAACTTTTTAAAAATAAACTCCAGCTATGGGCAACATCAAGTATTTGAGCTACAATGAACTATGCTCCCCAGTTTAAAATTAGATGTTCAATATATTCCTATGCTGATAAATTTTTTAATGCCTCCTAAGACATTGAACTTTTTATTTTCTTTAGTATTTTAAGGAGACTTGTGAAAAGTATAAAATTGGTCTCTAACTCACATTGCAAATACTGCAACAATTTTGCACTCATTGCTTATATTTACAAATATGACATATGTTATTGCATCTTCAGCCCACTGTAAATGCTCAAAGACGTGCCATGTATTTCTTTCTGAAATACTCCAAAGATATAATCTCATTAAAGCCAACCAGAGCTTGGTTTGCACTGGCTGATTTACTCTAGGTTTATGAACTTTGGAAATAGTCTTTAAACCCTCAAATCAGTGGTTTCTTTATTAATTGAAGAGAGAAATTAATGCTTCTTCCACAGGGGTGTTGTGAGGATGAAATATTGAGGCACAGCTGCAGTGGATGACTTGTTCCTCAGTGTCATTCTCCCACAGCTGCACAGCTTGAGCTGACACAGGTCCAGGTAGAAAGACAGCCCCAGCTTCCCTGGTAAACAATGACTGGACTGGGGGAGGGAGGGGAGAGAGAGAGAGAGAGAGAGAGAGAGAGAGAGAGAGAGAGAGAGATGTCCCTTTTGATTCAGCCAGTTTAGGATTTGTTATACTTTGATTTGTATCCTAATTGAAAGAAAGAGTGTGTTGTACCCCAGCATACAGCTTCAAATACAACTTTCAAAGAACTTCCAGTCATCCTTGCAATGGTGTTTTCTCGTTTTCTGAATTTAATATAGGCATATTTAACTGTGGGCCATAGAACGCCCTGAAGTGATTCTTTCTCAAAGAAATGCACTCTGTTCTACAGTCGCTGCTTTCCTTTTCTAATCTTCAAGCTTAGAATTTATTTTTTTTAAAAAAAACTTTGGATGATTTTTGTATTAACTAACATTTTTGATCATTCTTAACTAAAAAGAATACTTAGTTCTGCATCATACCACAATAAAGCAATTATTTACAGATTTAAATTAATATTATGCAAACAAATTAAAGTCGTACATAAGATCCATCTGTCATATTACCCATTTGGGGACAGTGTAGGGGCAGTTGGAAAAATACACTATACAACTTCAAACTCAAATATACATTGGTTGCATGTAAAAGTTGTACACTACAGCAACAATAAACAAAATGCGTTTACAAACAAGAAAATAGGAGAGCATCATATAACAGCACCATGAAGACGCCTCCGTTGAGATTGCTGGGAGTACCGTCCTCAGACAATTCAAGCCCAACATGATTCACATTTATGCAGTGCCACTCGGAAGTCAGCATGTTCTCACAGTTGCTTTTGTTTGGAGAGGGACTGGTGTGAAATAACCGACGCTTGGTTCGCAGCGATTTTGTACTGTTCTTGTCCAGAGCCTTGCGGCGGGGAAGGGAGTGGGGTCTCAGGAGTTGCTGAAAAGGAATCAGAGAATTGTAAGTGACGGTGATAGTTGACCTGCGGCACCCCATGAAACCCTACATAAGGCCAACATGCATTATTATATTTTGGTTAAGAGGTCACATATAAAGTATTGATCTGTGTAATGCATTATCAGTCCGTTAACATATTAATGGAGAGGCACTCTCACCCTCTCTCCCCAATTACAACTGATCAGTGATAAATCATGCAAAGTAATCGTTGCTGTCACTTTAAGATGTTTTCTGCCTTTCTTAGTAACATTGACGAGCCTGAATTCTTCAAAAAGCCCCACAGAAAGAAGTTCATGAAAAAATTAACAGAATGTTAGTTTTCCCCAAGTATAAGAAACAATCTTCTTAGCATTTGCAGTCAAAGTCACCCATAAAATTAAAGGATTTAATTCAGTTTGCATTCTACTAGTTCATACATGTTAGATGATCTAAAAATTAAAGTTAAGTAACTTTGTAAGTGTTTTGAAATCTAAGCTGCAGTCTCTAGATTCTGAGCACTCTGCCTTGTTGTTTCCCAATCTTATTTCAATTGAGCTGGCCTGTCTTTCCCCCATTCAATGCAAAGAGCAAACATGATTAATTGAATAGAAAGTAACTGAATATAAAAAATTGAATTGAATGAAGGAAACTCAGTTTGAGTACTTCATTGTGCAAGAAAATGTTTCTTTCTGTTTTGAATTCTACCGTCTTACAAAATAATCTGCAAGTTATTCTTTAATTTCAGAAAGCACACTATTTTAGTACTCATGCTTATTATGTATGTATTTAATAGTGCTAAGAGAAAATGCTTGATCAGATTGGAAACCAGAGATTTCACTCTCTGTTTTTAAGAACTGTCTATTAAAAAAAAAAAAAGAATAATCTCCTCTTCCTGATATTACCTTATACTTTATATTATTCAAAATATAAATTACATTTTAAATGCAGTATAGTTGAACTTAAATATGCAAATTTGCTCCTCAAATTATTTCATTTTTAAAAAAGATTTATTTATTAATTTCTTTATTTACATGACTGTTCCGCCTAAGAGCATGTATGTGCACCACATGCATGCAGGTGCCCTCAGAGGCCAAAAGAGGGTATTGGATCTGGAGCTGGAGCTGGAGTCACAGCTAGCTGTGAGCTGCCATGTGGGTGCTGGGAACCAAATCCAGGTCTTCTACTAGAGTTGCAAGTGCATTTAACCACTGAGCTATCTTTCCAACACCCCAGTTGTTATTTTTCATTTAGAATAGATTTAAAATTTTAGTGGCCTTCTGTAAAGACAGAGAAAATACTGGAATTTTAATTGAATGAATTTAATATCTTGCTTGGAGTACAAACTGTTTCCAATGAGCATGAGCAAATCTGAGTTTTCCTTTGTGAGTCTCATAAGTATTGTTCTGAAAAGGAAAACATGGAAATAGTGATGATGCAAGTCTTAAAATCCTAGTGTGATTAAGTTCTTAAATTACTGAATACTTCTTTTAAAAGATGAAGGATTCTACTGTCAGTCAAGTCGTCAAACTCCCTGGCTCATTGATGCTTATAATGTTTAATGTGTTGCTGAAGTGTTTTACTTTCTGAGTTTATAAATAACCGATATCTAAAAAACAAATTCCGTAGGCTTTCTGGCCACATTGGTCTCTCCTTTCTCTCTACTTTTACTCTTCATTAAATGAAACATAACATTACGGGGGCGGGGGAGGCCAAAAGAGAGGTGAGTATGATTAAAGGTCTCTATATACATGTGAAAATGTGATAACAAAATCCGTTATTTTGTACAGCTAAAATTTCCTAATAAAAAGTATGGGGGTTAACAGTATTTTCCAAGAGAGTCCATCCCAACCATGGACTCTCTAAACTAATGCCATTCAAATACATTGTGATCCACAGAGGAAATATACTACATTATTTTAGAACATATAGTTTTTTCCTGACAATTTCTTTCCTTTTCAGAGAATCAATCAAAGCCCTTTCAGTGCTTGTTCTAAAGGACAGAATGATAACAGGTCATTCTATGGCTGCAACTTCCTGTCCATAAACTAGCAGTCCAGTGTTATTCCCTGAATTGTGCCACTGTATGGAACATTTGAGTGCACTGACATTATAAATAATTATTAAAGACTATTGTAAATTCGGCAAAGAATACATGAATGCATGCAAGTATATCACAATAATTCATGTCAGTGCTGTATGTTATCTGGGTTTGGCATTCAGAGGCAATAAATCAAAGGTAAGTCTGGGATTAGTAAATATAAATTCATAAGCAATTCTTTTCTTTTAAATATAAACTATCTCTCACAGACTACATGTTGAAGTCTTGGGCTCCAACTGGTCATGTTTGGGAGGTGATGAGAAAACTAGCTGAGGAGGTAGATCTCTAGGGAACGCTTCTAGAAGGTATCTTGCTCCTGCCTCCTGCCTCTTTCTCTCTGATTCATGGCAACTATGAAATGAGCGGATCTACTCAATTAAACCCTCTCTACCATTGTGCTCTGATTCACCACAACCCCACAGTGAAGAGCCCATAAAACATGTGCTAAAGCTCAGAAATCATGATCCAAAACAAATATTTTCTCCTTCTAAGTTGTTCTTCTCTGGTGTCTCTTACAATGATTAAAAATTTGTCCAGCATACAATTATCGATCAACTCTAAATGTTTTGTCAAAAGAACTTTTTTCCCCAAATTGTCTTAGAAAAATAGAATGGTAGATAAAGTAGCTGCTAAAAAATGCATAATACTTTAGTAGCTTTAGTTCTAAAGAATTTGGAGAAGTAGCCCTATCTTGCATAGTTCCGATATGCAGGAATTTCAGTTATGATAGCTTAGTTACACGGCACCACTCCCAAAACAATGTGATTTAAATTTCAGTCACTGTGGTAACTCACTCATCCATGAGTACCTGCATAAATGCAATTTTACTTCCATTTTTTTCAGTTTAGAAACTGCTTCCTAGTGATGAGTCACTAATCCCGTCACATCTTTCTGTCTGAGCATGCATGACAGGTAGTGGCATCTTTTAACCAGTTCATACCGACAAGAAAGTATGTAGTTGTACTCTTTGTCTCCCAGGGATGAATTCATGTAAGTGTTTACAAATTGGATAATTGAAAAGAGAACTGAGCAATGAACATGAACTGTAGCAAAGAAACAAAAACTAATGCTAGAAGTAAAATCCAAGTTTCCATGGAGGCAGAGAAGTGGCTAAGTGGGGGCTGCAGATGCTGCTGCTGTTTGTGTCTATAAATATGCATCAAGGGACTTAATGATGAAACACCTGTCCATGGAAGTGGAGAAACTCAATGTGAGAAGAACAAGGATCTCCCAAAGAAAGTGAAATCAGTAAAAAAAAAAAAAAAAAAAAAAATCACATTAAACAAATTTTCATCTCCACTTCAAGACAGTGAACACACAAAGGATAAAATGTGAAAGGGAAATTCAAAGTTCTTGAGAAATAAAAGTCACCATCTCACAGGAGAAATGTTCCCTAACCTATGTAAGATGGCAGCAAATATGTTCCAAATACTCTGCAACTTTTTTATTTCTTTTATCTATTTTTATTTCTCTGATGCTTCAGTGTTTTTTCCCACTTTTTCTACACATTTACAATCTATAGTTAAGAAAATTCTTACTATTTTTCCAATTTTAGAGATCACAAGTAGCCGTGAACTATCTCATCAATTACTAGAATTTCTTTGTATGGGTTCACCTTTTTAAAAAACACATTTTATTTAATATTTTTATGTGTATGAGTGTAGTGTCTGCATGTAGGTAAGTGCACCTGTGCCATGCAATGCCTGTGGAGGACAGAAGAGGCTGTTGGATCCCCTGGAACTGGAGTTATGGACAACTGTTAGCTGCCATGTGGGTGCTGGGATTCGAACCTGGGTCTTCTGCAAGAACAGCTAGTGTGCTTAACCACTGAGCCATCTCTCCGGCCGTGGTTTCACCTTTTATGGCCATTTATTGGTCCTATACCAATATGCATGCAAAGCTGTAACTACTTGTATGCTTTATGCTTCCTAAACCTAAGGAATACAAAGATTTAGGTTCTCACTTCTCCAGTTTGGGACACAAATTCATACCTACAGAGAATAACTGACCAGTTGAGTATTTCAGTCTCAGCTGAGTACAGTAGGGCAAATTCTACCCTGGGTTTGCAATTCCTGGGTGCTAATAGATGTGTATCTCAAGTTATAATTTTCCTCAAATAACTAAACTTAAAGATTTCAGAGCAGAAATGTTTCCCAGATACTTACAGATCTGATCTGTGTGAACCAGTGTGGACATGGGGCCAAAAAGTACAGTCTGCCCAGTTAGTGGATCTTGAGATAGATGTGGGTGCATTGGGTGATGGACATGGCCGCCATCATTGGCAGCACCTGTAGAAGACAGAGATGCTCACATCAGTGACATTTGTCAGAATAGCAGCTTCACCTTGACACGTTTCCATTGACAGCTTGACTAGTGTTATTTTTTGCAAAGTAGTTCTAGAAAATTCAAAAATACGTTGACAGAATCACTGCCTTGTTAAGGACAGTGTCAGCTCTCACTATACATTGGAGAGATGGATATTGTGTCAGAAGTCTGTGTATTAACAATGGGCCTTGTGTACTGTTTCCTGGAATCATTAGAATTTCTGTCTGTTAAGGCAATTTCAAGAATCACTTGCCTCAAGTTTATAATATTTGGAATTACTCTAATAGCAAGTACAACTTTTATTTTGGAATGATATTATTAGGAATACATTAAACTAAATCACAGAAAACTAAAAATAAATTCAGTGACTTCACAAGCAGATTTAATTTAAATCAGAACATAAAATAAAGACTTTCCTAACACATTCCCAACATTGTTGCTGCCCTGAAGGCTCACTTTATCCCTCCTATTTTATGCCAATTAATTCATTCAGGAGCAAAATGTTCCTATTTAAGCCATTTAATCCATATAAAGGCTATGCTGCAATAGCTCTGTTCTTGAAGTTTTCAAAAAGCTAAGTCCTACTCCAGGCATGGTGATGCACACCTTTAATTCCAGCACTTGGGAGGCAGAGGCAGGCTGATCTCTGTGAATTCAAGGCCAGCCTGGTCTACAAAGAGAGTTCCAGGCCAGCTGGGGCTACAGGGAGACTCTGTCTCAAAAAGGAAAAAAAAAAAAAAGCTAAGTCCTTAAAAAAAATCACTGTATACTTTCACAGACCCTAAAAGCAGGGAATACATTTCTGTTTAGCACTTATGGGACAATCTGAGGGTGGAAGTCAAAGGGGTTGTACCCAGGAACTAGGTCGAAGTCTGACAAGAATGGGCATTTGAATCTGTTCAATCACTTTTACCTTCCATCAGGTTGTGCAGACTTTGTAAGTGGAACAAATGAGATTTCTTATGTCCTGGTAGAAGACCCAAAGGAGGAACAGATGGGAACAAACAAAAAGTGGAATAACTGAGGGCCCAAAACAAAGGGCAGTCTTCTAACGTCAGTATCATGATGCTATATCAATTAAGAGAAAAAACTTCTGTGTGCTCACCACCCAGTAACATTTCCTGAAGGAGGTTGTCGATTTTGACCATGCCGAAGAGTTTGACGAACTGAATTTGTTCAATCATCTGCCAGGTGATGCTCTGCAGCGTGGGCAGCAGCAGCAGCAGCTCCCCGAACCTGCCCCTGGAGTCGTACTGCCGGTCATTGATGTAGTCCTCCAGGCTGATTTGCACCTGGAAGCGCATATTCTTAATTTTCAGTGGGTCGCTGAGCCCCTTTGCATCTGGTAAAGAAATAAGCAAGTGCGTGCTGAAGAGATCATTGAACGAGGGCATGAGAGTAAATGCTCTAAGATGAAGAAAGGCATTTAAAAACCAACCTGGATCAAAAAACACAATGGCCTTCAGACAGGCATACTCATTGTCATCCACCTGGATTTCCTGGAAGGGTCTAACCAGCTCATCCAGAACCCGGTTGGCCACGCGGCTGACCTCCACCTCACAGCTGTTCCGGTGAATAACATAATTGTTTCCTGGGAGAAAATGAAGAATTAGCTACCTTCTCTGCTGGGCTGCTGAATACTGTTTTTATGTATCGGTGTTCAAAATGGTCTGTTCTAGAAAGAATAGCATAGATAACTTCACCCCTCCATAGCACTGAGCTACTGAGGTGAGAACCTCAGAATGCTCAAAGGATCAATAACAGTGATAATGTGCTCACATGCATTTTAACAGCCCCAGTCACTGGTGATAACAAAAAGTACAGACTCATAATCAGCTAATAATTGACAGGGAGAATTGACCGATAATGATTAGCCGTCCTCTGTGTCAGACATCTATTAGTGCCTCTCTTATTAATGAGTGTTAGCACAAATCCTAAAGAATCTTCCGTACTTAGAGTGGATTAAAAACAGCACCGTTTGGTACTCTAGCCATGTGGAGGGAGAACCACTGACACAGCTTAAACAAGCTTAAGTAAGGGAGAAAAATTACCTGATGTAATTTCATGAGTTGCCTTATAGTATATTCTCTCCTCTTGGGCTTCATCCTTTCTTTTATCTTTTTATCTATGTGTGTGTGTGTGTGTGTGTGCGCGTGTGCGTGTATGTGTGTATGATGTATGCATATGATGTGTGTGTATATGTGTATGATGTATGCATATGATGTGTGTGTGTGTGTGTTCATGTGCATGAATGCGGGCATATACTAACCACAACATATGTATGGAAGTCAGAAGAAACCTCAGGTGTGAGTTCTCACCTTCTACCTTGTTTAAGACAGGCTGTTTAAACGATGTTTAAACAGTGTTTGCTGCTCTGCATGCCCATGAGCTTCTGAGAATTCTCCCTCTTCTGCCTCCCCTCTCCCAGTAGGAGCAATGGGATAACAGACACATGCTACAGCGCCTGGCTTTACATGGGTTCTGAAGATTCAAACTCACATCCTCATAATTCTATGACATGCACTCTACCCATTCAACCATCTTCTTAGTCTCCTCTTCATTGATTTCTTTAAATACAGGTAGTTTGACCACTTTCTGGAGCTGAATTCAAGAGAGTTCAGAAATTTGATAGATAGCAGATCTACCTAATCTCTCCAGATCTACCTTTAACATTCTCTGGCTGTAATATGATGAGTATTTGTCATAGCTTCTAAAATAAAACTGGATTAATATTTCCTGGTTCATATGGGAAAAAAAGCATTTCCTTAATTATTCTACTTCAGGTAAAGATTATTATTGTAGTTTGGATCTTAGCTGTCCCCCAAAGGCCAGTGTATTGAACTCTTAAACCTTAATCCATAGCACTATTTGGAAATGGTGAAACCTTCAAAAAGTGGTGCCTAGAGGATAAGAAGTCACTGGAGTTGTGTTCCTGAAGGGAATCTGGGAACCCTGGCCTTTTCTCTCCGCTTCTCATTCACTCCCTCCCTTTCTCTTCCCTTTGCTTCCCCTTCCCTCCCTGTCTCCTGGACACCTTGAGTTGAGCTGTTTCCTCCGCCATATATTCCAGCCATGATGTTGGGTGCTGCCACAAACTCAAAACAACAGGGCCAAGCAGGTATGAATTGAAACCTCTAATACTGGGAGCCACATAAACTTTCCATCTTTTTAAGTTGATAATTTCAGGTATTTGGGCACAAGAACCTTCAATGGTAAGGTAATATGTTCAAAACATTCAGTGTAGCCAAAAACTTTTCTCTCTGCTTCCACTCGGTTTTCTAAGACACTCCTCTTGTGTTATTTTAGCCCTCTGTCTGCATCCTACTTCTGCTGCTTCTAACATTTCTACCTTTCAGAATTCTTCAGATACTGCCACCAACTTCTTTGACATGATTATTTTACAGTATGAGCCATGAGGCCATAGGAAGTGCATTCCTATACAGTAAGCAGGCACTGACAGAGCAGGAAAACACTTTGGGATCCCACAGGTGGTCATTTAAGTTCCTGAGTCTTTGTATCCATAAAACTTCAACAGATTTCGGCATTAGGTTTATGGAGCAAAATCTCTTTTTCATTTTAAAATTTCAGTGCTCCCCTATCATGTGACAGTACCATGATCTTGCATGTAATTATAACAAAAAAGAAAACAGAAAACAAACAAACAACAACAACAAAAAAAATCAGGGCCAGAAAGATGGCTCACTGGGTAAAAACTCTTGCCACCCAGCTAACAACAGGAGTTCCATCTCCAAGACCCACATAGTAGAAGGAAAAACTCACTCCAGCAAGTTGTCCTCTGACTTCCACATAGGTGGCCTGCTCCACTCTAGGAATGATCCAGAGTAGAGTGAGGACATAATGAATGACCTGCACTCTGTGAAATCAAAGCACTGTTTCCCAGTAACTGAGTGCTTGGTGCATGTGGAATAGATCCCACATATTATTGTAAGGATAAAATATGCATAATTTATTCTTAAATTAAAAAAAAAATCTTACCCAAAAGCAAAATGTCTTTATACATCATGGATCTCTTTGTAGCTCCAAGCAGTAAGTGTTCCCCTGCGTGAGCTCTCAACAGGGCCACCTTAATGAAAGATTGCAAGTTTAACAATTAGTTACAAAACATAATGGTTAAAAGACAGCACATTGTGAGTCTCATTAACTTACAGTCTTTTCTAGCCTGGCAGTCTTCTTATTTTTTTGGTTTTGTTCTAACATCATATAATAATCATAGGTACTTATCATTAGGATTTATGGATTTGTATCTTAGCAGGTCCAAAGCATTTGCTTTTGAAAACTAGCACAATGGCCACAGAGAAAAGCAGACCACCTGATTTTGAGAGAAGCTGAAGGAGGCAACAAGTTCACATCCCAGCTCCGCCACTGATTCCCTGTCTAACTTTGCATAAATTTCCCAGCATGTTTGAATTTCATTTATTTTCATCATTGGGAGAATCACCAATAAAAATTATCTTCAAGTATACATATGAAAACTAAATGTTAAAATATGTATAAAACATAACTTTTTACAAATAAGTTAACAAGCAAAGCATGGGCTTGTAGGGGGAAGAAAAGGAACTTTTTTTGAATATTTTAAAACACTGTGGTTAATTCTCTCAATGTGAATTGACTGAATTAAATGACTAGGTTCTAGATTGAGCCTCTCACTACAGCAGGAAACATCCCACCAATCTTCATCTTTACCGGGGATTCACACTACGTCTCATCACTAAGAACCAGGGGAAACATTTCAGTTGTAGCACATTCCATATCACATAGGTTCTCCTATGCCTTCTGCACAACAGTAAATGGTATCAGCTACTAAAGTGTTTGCTTACATCCAAACATTAGTCTATTCTGAGTCTTCTCCAAGCATACTGCAACCCAGTGTTGCTTATTAATTTGTAAGCCAAATTCATCCACTGCCTTCTATCTCCAAGGCTTCACCTCTGGTCCAGGACTGGTTGTTTGTTTCCTGGACCACTCCCACCCATTCAGTTTGTTTTCTTGCTTGTTTTCTATGTCCTCAATAAATATACATATATATATATGCTTATATATGTTATACTTTTAGTATACAATATATATTACACTACAGATCATTCAGTATAACACCTCTGCTGAAAACATTTCAGTGATTTCATACTGTCCTTTAAATAACATCCAGATCATGGCCTCACAGGGCACAGAGAATGTGGGACATTATCTGCTTTGCCTACTGCTGCCATGTCCCTCTTTATCTTGAGTACTCATTGTTCATTCTGCTCCACTGGCCTCAGAACCCTTGAACATGCTGTTCCTGTACTCAGAATGCCCCTCCTAGGATCTTGGTACACTTGGCCCCTGCCATTCTGGCCTTGGGGCATGTCTTCTCTCATCCCCACTGTAAAGTCTTTCCACCCCGTCTCCAGTCATCCTCCAACTCATCCTGTTCCATTTCATGACATTTTATAGAACTTATCCCTACCTAGAATAAACTTACTCATAATTTGTGTATTTTTTTATTGTCAGTCTTTCTTAAATAGACCACAAACTTTATGAGACTGGAAAGGCAATCTGGACTTTTACGGCAGGATCCCCACCAATCCTTAAACTGAAACTAGTAGTTTCTTAATAAATACTCATTTGATGAATTTATGGAAGTAATTAACTGATCTGTAGTTCAGTTTCAGAAACTGTAAAATGGAGATAACGCTTACACCACAGAACTCCTACAAGAATTAAATGTAATAATGTAATTGATTATAGATTTGAGAGATAATACACCTGGGTTCAACCCATAGTACGCATTCATTAACCTATGGGTATTAGTGTTATGTTGTTAATATTAATGGAAGAAAATACAAACTTTTTTCTTAGTTACTGAACTCCAATTTTCCAATATTTAAGCCATTGTGTCTTCATACAAAAATTAGCAGCTTTTAAAGTTTAAAAATATAAAACTGATAAATTGCACAGCCCTACATATATTGGTTGTGGTGAGACTGGTAGGTTTTAGCAATTTAGCATTATTCACTCCAGCATAATCTTCTGAGCCAAGCTATCTTTATGGCATGTCAATAACTGTGACTCACTCCAGGAAGGGAGTTACAAAACACTGTAAGAATGATTTCAGTTTTCATGGTACTTTTTCCTGTCACCAAGTAAGACACCTTAGAAATATAACTGCTAACTTCCTATGACAGTTCTGTTTTGGTGTGTAAATGTGCTGGTCTTCCTGAGTTTTACACAATCATGATAACGTTTTATTTTATTTTATTTGCTATGGTTTTCATGTGTCAGTGAAACCTTTTTACACTGGTCACAGGATGTATTAATGTACACTAGGTTGAACATTCATTGTGATTAATTCTCTCAATGTGAAAGAAATGGAAACTTTAAGATTATTTTCATCTATAAAAAGCTATACACTCTTTAATAAGAGTTGCTCAAATAAGTCAAATACAAGCAAATTCAAGCTCCTGATTATTAATTAAAATATATTAATGTAAATATGCCAAATATAAGAATATATTAAGAAAAGATTACTATCTGCATTTTCTCCTTTACTCTAGAGATCTTGAATCTATGAACATTTTTGCCCCATTCATATTTTTATGGAATTATTTTATGCAATAAATTTTTATTTATAGAATAAGTACTAGAATAAAATTAGTAGCATGAAAGGAAAAAATATGTCAATTTGTATAAAGTACCCACAAAGACACCAACACATCCTGCTTGGTTTCAATTAAGGAGTGGCCTGGCACTTCTGAAGAATTTTATTCAGTACCTTTGGGAAACTCAGCACACTATAGTTCACCATTTGCCTCCCAGACATTTATTCTTCTAATACCTTGAAAAACCTCACAATTGTAGTTACTTGTGGTCTGTCTTCCTTCCTCATTTAAACTCCAAAAGATAGAACAGTGTCTTGATCAACTCAACCATTGTTTTTGCCTGATCACTTCAATCAACACTAAACAGTTGTATCTCTATACAATAAGAAAGTAAACGATAATAAAATTCAACCTTTACTTCACCAGATAATTTATCCATTGTCTAATATACATTTTAAATACATTACAAATATGATTCTAAGAACACAAGGACTTAGTAAACCTCCAATAACCACGTTCTAGATCCATCCTGATTTCTTCAATTCATACCTGATCATCCAGCGGTAATTCACAGAAGGCAGGGATGTACTTGGCCCACTCTACCAAGACCAGGAGCTGCTGCTTCATAGACTCACAGACATCACTGATACTTGCAATTTTTTTAACATTTATGTCAGTGTTTGTACCAGGGCTTGGGACTGAAATCTAACATGAGCAGAATATCATGTTAATGTAACACTATAAGTTAAGAATGGTCAACATTGCCCCTAATCCTATGACTATGTTAAGTAAACACCATGGAAACAGGTATCATCATCATAGTACCTTGAAATACACCAAATGCTTTTAACTTGAGAACTAAAACCCCTGTCAGTTTAAAGCTAAATTGAAAACAGTGAGTACCAAGCCTCTACTCTGAGAGTGGGATCTTATTTTAAAAACCAAAGCCATAAAGTAAACTACACTTTCATATGACTTTCATATTCAAAATGGTTACTTAAAGAAATATGCACTATCCACAGGACATGTATACCGTGGTTTTATTTCTAGTTACAATTCACATTTGCATTACAGGAGTTGATCTTTAATTTCTTGATTTTTATGAAAAAAAATTATCCAGTAGATAAAGGTTACAAAATAAGAGAAAATATTTTTAGGAAAAGCTAGAACTATTTCTAATGTTGAATTGAATTAAAGGCCACCCAATAAGATTAAAATACAAACCCTTAACTCAATAATGGTGTAGTGCTTAACATATAATGATAATAATTTTAAAACTTTACATAAAATTCAACTTAAAAAAATAAATGCTTTTCAAAATCTTTCTCTGGAAAAAGCAAATACCATCTAATGAAAGACTTTGCACAATTAATTTTAGATATAGGTTCGTGGAGGGGGGTGTATGTGCGTGCGTGTATATCACGTGAACCCAGATATTTCCTCACAGCTCCCCTTTAGGTCATTCTTTAAATGCTTTATTGGACCATCAAGTAATCGCCAAGCACTGGTGGTGATAATAGGATGTTAACCTCATCATATTACTCGGGTGTTATCAAGAATGAAAGTAGAATAAAGATTCTCACTGACTCTTTATAGGACCTGAGTAAGTACTTAGCTATTTCATAATTTGCTTTGTAATAAGAAAACACCATGAATATTTCCAATAAAGGCAATGCTAAAATAAAGTTTCTTCAAAGACTTCCTTAGTAGACTCTTAAATGATTTGTTTTTATGTGTAAAATTAAGGATTTAGCTTCTTACCTTACACCTAATACTCCTATTCTAAAATTTGAAGATAACAAAGTTTCCTTTCTTCCGTATTTTATGAATTCAGACTGCAATTTTTATTAAAACAGCTGTTTCCAAAAGAAGTAGCAGCTGTTTCTTGAGTCCAGAAGTAAATTTTGAGAAAAGAAACGATGACATATCTCAACCAAATTTTCCCCAAATTGTTAACAGTTGATTTTTTACAGACTCAGCCAATAAAATATTGTCTTGAAAGCATTATGGTATGGATAGTCAGTCAGGCTCATAAACAAACTTTCAGACCATATGAGACTGAAATGTATTTTGTTTTTTCCATTTAAAAACAGGGTTTTACTGAAGAAAATTCAAAATTAAGTCAACAGTTCCACTAATCCTTGCACAGCAATACTTCTGAACCTGTGTAGATATTGTTTTAGCAATGAGCACAGAAACACGAACTCAGGACAGCGATCTGCATCAAGACCTTGCATTGGTCAGAGCAGAGTCAGTGCTGGAGTGGATCCCGTACCTGTCGGGAGCGAGCTTCAGCTTGCGCCAACGTGTTTATGGAGGGAATGTTGCTGCCTTCAAACGTGCTTCTCCTGGTGCTTATTCTGTCACGCTCATTTTGCACGGCTGGGGGGAGAAAAAAAATCACAGCTACGTTTTAGTCCGATATCTTTACTATATGCTAGGATATACGCCTGGAAATTTTAAATAATCACATTAGGTCAGAAATGGTCTTTCTAAAGATGGAAAGACTGAAAAACTTTTTTTTGTATGATTTTCAAAAAAGGAATACCCGAGCTTGCCACCGGAGCTCGTGAAATACGACGCTTGGACTTCACGATGGCATGCATTTTAGAAAGTGTTGGCTCACCCAGTTTTGACACTCTGTATTTCTGTTGTTTTTGAGACAAGATCTCTCTATGTAGTCCTAAGTTTCCTGCAACTTGCTATGTGGATCAGGCTGGCTCTGAGCTCAGGGATATCTGCCTGCCTCTGTCTTCTGAGTGCTTGGATTGAAGGTGCTTTGCTGTATTTTTAGTAAGATGTTCTATTCTCTCACAGTTAATAAAACTGTAAGGTAACTAGAGGAAGAACATCATCTGCTAAGCTAGCCTGGTCAAAGACAACAATATATTCACAGATATGAGTCACAGATTCGGAAATTCCTATTTTCTTTTTCCTATAAAACACTACAAAAAATGGAAAGTAAATTTACTTTAGTTAAGATGGCTGTAAGGCTGCAGTCTTAAGACCTCTTATAAAACACTGTTTACAGATGATAGCTTAAAAAGTCATTGCACAGGCTGTGGTTTCTCCCATCTCCTGAGAAGATAGAGGTTTGAATATCAGCATTGTGGAAAGGGTGAAGTCATCCCCTGCATTATGTAAAATATCTCCAAGAGCAAGATAAAACTGCTTCCTTATTTCACAAAAGAAAGAAAGAATAATGGATATGTCCTAAACCCTTATTGAAAACCATATTTTTAAATATAAAGAAGAAAGAAAAGGGAAGTATTACCTCATATATTAGCATAAATACACATATAAAGAGTAAATAAGTCTAATGTGAAAGTTAGATTTCAAAACTAAGGAAGTAAAATGATCTTCCATTAACCAAAGAGAAGAAAAACAAGATCCAAAGTCCCTAAATTATTTAGGTTACTGCTCTAAATCTATTCTGATGAAATATGAGACTATCATAATATAATTTTTTTCTCTAAGTACTCTTTTATTAAAGAAATCCACCAATTTCTATGTCAAAGTTTTATAACAGAAACCTAAAAATATTAACTATTGACTCCACTAAGAAGAAAACATATTGGGTTTTGTTTAGAGTCATCTTTAAGTTGGAGTGAATCATTAATATTTTATATTAAAATCATACTGACTGCTAGCTTATTTTTAAAGAGAAATTGTTCTTGGTTTTCATTCTAAACTGACTTATTTGGAAATATACTAGTAGATTAAAAAATTAAGATGTTTCTCTTCTCACAAATTTCATTCACATGATCAAGTTTTATAAGAATGTTCATCGATATCATAAGAATTTATATTATTTTTACTGCCCTCATTGTTTACATAAGTCCATTTTATCTGTTTTTATTTAGTTAATACTGATATTAAGGGCTATTACATGACTATAAAGAAAAGAGATATTAATTTTGAAACTCAAAAAACTACTTTCCTATCTATTTAGTAAAATTTAGCCACCATTTTATGAATAGTAAAAGATGTAATTCCACCATTTTCAAAGGTAATTTTATTGAATAAATTCTCTGACTCATAAGGAACATTTATGATTGGGATTGTTGACAATTTCAATGGGGTAAAGATTGGTCTTCAGGTATTAAGTGGTGAGGACAGTTCATAAATTATGTAATTATTACTATCAATTATCTAATGGAGATTGTAGGACATTAGATAGGTCATTTGTGCAATGAAAAATTGCTTCTTCTTTAATTTGGTGAACTTTATTTTTGACCATCAACAAAGCTAATGGAGTTTTAGTTATTTTAAATTATTGAGA